CCTCAAAAATCATTTGTTGCTCTATGAACCCCCGTTTGGATTCTCATCTCCCATCTTCCATTCCCATCCTCTCTCCCTCGCCACCAGACCCAGCAGCGGCTGGAGGCGTTCTACTCCTTCAAGCAGCGCTTTGCCAAGATCCGTTCTTTTGTACCTTCTCCCATTTCCCATCTCCAATCTATTATCTCCCATCTCCCATTTCCCCCACCCCTTCCCACACATCTCTCAGACCCAGCAGCGGCTGGAGGCGTTCTATTCATTCAAGCAGCGCTTTGCCAAGATTCTCTCTCTTGTACCATCTCCCATCTCCCTTTTCCCCCATCCCTCTCCCATCCATCCACTTCCCCCGCAAACCTCCCCAGACCCAGCAGCGGCTGGAGGCGTTCTATTCATTCAAGCAGCGCTTTGCCAAGATCCGATCGCGCCGCGTGCAGAGAGCCGTCACCGGCATCGCTGGCAGCGCTGCACAGCACCTCATGCTGCCGCCCTCAGGGGTCACTGCGCCTGAAGAGGACGATGCAGAGGAGGAGCATATCCTTCATGCCCCTGCCAACGCTGTTAGTGCTGCTGCTGCCGGTGTTTCTGCTGCTGGTGGTGCGGGCGATGGGGATGTGTCTGGTGACAGGGAGCAGGATGGTGTGGCAGCAGCAGGTGGTGGTGGTGGTGGGGCGAGTGGTGTGAGGCGTGGGAAGGCCAAGGGTGCTGCTGCTGCTGTGGGCGGGGAGAAGAAGGGACGAGCAGGGAAAGGGCGAGGGAGAGGGCGGGGTGGTGCGAGTGCGAGAGGCAGAGGAAGGGGGAGGGGAGGGGGGCGAAGGGGAGGGCGTGGGGGGAGGAGAAAAGGGGGAGATGCGGCGGAGGAGGCAGAGGGTGAGTGGGCATCCTCAGGCGAGTCAGGGGAGGAGGAGAGGCATGGCAGGGGCATGAAGGTGGGTGCAGCAGAGCAGAGCACAGATGCTGGCAGCACGCGAGGGGCTGAGGGTGGCATGGAGGGGGGTGCAGTAGGCACGGGGACAGGTGTGCCTGTGAGGGTGCAGCCAAGACGAGAGGCCAAGCGGCCACGCCTGCAGCTTGGAGACTCCCGTGCTGGCGTGGGTGCTGATGGGGTTGATGGGGTTTCCTTGAGTGACTCGGACTCGAGCAGCAGTGGGAGCGATGCCGACCTTGCTGATGCTGATGGCGACAGCGATAGTAACGATGACGTGTTTCATCCCCAGGAACACCTGCCCTCTCCTCTCACTGCGAGACCTGTGGCCCGATGCACTTCTCCCACGGGCACAGGCACAATCACACCCACACCCACACTCACTGGTGCACTCACTGCCACAGGGCAAAGCGGCCAACAGCAAGCAGGCGGGCAGGGAGGGGTGGAAGGTGTCGGTGGGGGAGAGGGAGGAGGGAAGGGGGACGCAGCAGGGCAGGCAGGTGGGAGAGGTGAGAGTGAGGGGAGCACGTGGGTGGTGCAGCGACTCTCCCATGGGGCAGAGGAGCAACAGCATGGCAGTCAGCAAGGGACCCAGCATACCTGCCCTCGCCACACCTCGGGTGGAGCCCATACGGCAGTAGCAAGCACAGGGCAGGGGGGAGCACCGTGCAGCTCCCTGCATGCGTTCATGCATGGAGGGGGGTTCTGTGTGGGGGAGGAGCAGCACGGGGAGGGGCAGGTGGCGGAGGCGGGGGGGAGGGAAAGGGAAGAGGAAGAGCAACAGCTCTTGATGGAGCGCGTCGGAGGAGTGGAAACGGAAGAGATAAGGGGCGTTGTGGCAAGTAATGAGGTCACAGGTGCTTGGGGTGTTTGCAGAGAGATAGGAGAGAAGATGGTGGGCGGAACGGAAGGGGAGGATGGGGAGAGAGAGGGCGAGGGGGCTGGTGGTGGGATGGTTGTCGTACCCACAGCACACAGCGACCACACTCTCGCACTCACCTCCTTGAAGCAAGCCCCTCGTTCCCCTTGCGGACCGGAACCTCAACCACTTGCATTGGGCCCTCTGCTGCCCGCCCCCTTGCGCCGCAAGAAGCCCCGAGTGCGCTGAAGCTAGAGTTCTTGGCGTGCTCAAGAATGGGGCACTTGGGAAAATGCGCCGGCAATGTGCTTGCATTATTGTAAATAGATGTATCCTGCTGTAAAGAAGGTAAAATTATACAATTCGCTATAAGATTTACGTTTTGTCCTCACCATAGGTTTCTGCAGTGACTTGGGCCGACACTGCCTGCCTTCACAACATCCCCAATTCGACCTCACACATTCGCACGCTCGTTACACTTCAGCGCAATCCAGCGACCACCAGCCACGTGTCGCCTCGCCGCCGCGCCACGCCTCCAAGGCGCACGCCATGGCCCAACCGCTCTCTCTTTGCCGCCCAACCCTGATGTTCGCGGCGCCCGCGTCGCTATCCCCGTCACTATCGGCGCGCTGTGCGCGCGTGCCACGCGGTGCGGGCGTGAGCCGACTTTCCGCCGTGAGAGCGCCTTCAGCGGTGGCGGCGCGGCGGCGCGTCATTGTCACTGGTACGTCCGTAGGTAAGGCGCGGATGAACAGCGACACGCTCCTGTAGATTGCGCGTTCGCATGGGTTGCCCGCTCGCGCCAGTAGGTTGCGTGCGTCTGCCTTCATGTGCATTGTGCATGCTGACCATGCAAGCACGCGAGCGTGCCTGTGGGAGTGCGGGCGGGCGTGCCTGTGGGAGTGCGGGCGGGCGTGCCTTCCTTCCGCCTGCAACCGCTACTCACTCGTTGCTCTGCGTTGGTTGCCTACACCGTGCCGTGCTCCTGCGCTGCCCCTGCCAAACCAACCACTCCCGTTGCCCTCCCGCGCGCCAGCCTCCGCGGGTGCGCGCGCGGAAGACGCGGGCGCGGAGGCGGCGGAGATAGAGGCGGCGGTGGCGGTGCTGGCGGAGGCGGCGCGCAGCAAGCAGGTGAAGGGCGAGGAGGTGTTCGCGGCGCTGCGGCGGCTGGAGACGCGCAAGGTGGGCGCGGAGGAGAGCAAGGCGTGGCTGGCGGCGCTGGGAGGGGCGGCATCGCCTGGACACATGTGGCAGCTCGTGTTCACCGCTGGTAGCGGCGAGGTGCGTGCACGGGGCTGTGGGAGCGTGCGTGCGTGGATGGATGGTGATGTCATGGTGTGGTGTGGTGTGTTGCATGCCATGCTCACATGCCATGTGCCCTCTCTCCCACTCCTCATGCCATGTGCCCTCTCTCCCACTCCTCATGCCATGTGGCCCATCGTGTGCCCCATGTGTACTCCTGCCCACGCCCCATGCCCCCATGCCCCCATGCACCCAGGTGCGCAAGGCGGCCAAGGGCGGGGAGGGCACGGGGTCATACTTCCCCATCGCCGCCATCCAACGCTTCGATGCCACTGTGAGTTACCCCCCCGCCCGCCCTCCTGCTGCTACCACGCTCGCTCATTATTTCACTCACCTGTCACTGCTGCATGCTGCTGTGACCCACCATTCGTCCTCGCCACTAACATTGCTCTTGTCCGCTTGTCATCGTCTCAGTTCATTTCTCCCCCATTGTGCGGCGAGGTGAGGTGCGTTCAGCTGGTAGCGGCGCGGTGCTACCCATTATGCTGGGAGTTGTGGGCTCCACAAGCCCCCCAACTCCCACACCGTCACCCCCCTGTCTCTGTGCGCCCCACCTGTCTCTGTGCGCCCCACCTGTATTCCTCCACCTCTTACCACCCCTCAAACCGGTGCTCCCTGAAGCGCCATCTTCCCCTTCCCATCTCCTCTCTTCTCCCCTCCCTCCCTCTCCCCTTCCCCACCTCGTCAAACCCTCTCATCTCCCCTCTCCACTCTCCCCACCAGGCGATGGAGATAGAGAACGGGGTGTTTCTGGGTCCGGTGGGCTATCTCACCTTTCAGGGCCCCATGGGCTTCACTGGTCGCCGCCTCGCCTTCACCTTCCACACGCTCACCCTCAAGCTCGGCCCGCTGCCGCCCTTCCAGGTCAGCCTGCCGCCCTTCCAGGTCAGCCTGCCGCGCTTCCAGGTCAGCCTGGCAAGTGTAGTCGCTCTCTGCCTGACACATCCTTGCAACCGCCTTCTTTCACATCTCCCTCTCTCTCCCCCCCTCTCTCTCTCTCTCTCTCTCTCTCTCTCTCTCTCTCTCTCTCTCTCTCTCTCTCTCTCTCTCTCTCTCTCTCTCTCTCTCTCTCTCTGCCACTCTCTTCCCCTCTCAAAAGATATCCCTTGAGTCTTCTCAACCCCCCCCAATCCCCGCTACGCACACCGCCCCATGGCCACATGGCAGTTTGCGATAGGAAAGGAGGAGGACAAGGGGAGGGTGGCAGGGGAGGGCAAGGTGGGCAGCAAGGACCCTTTCTTCACCTGGTTCTACGTCGATGATCGCATCGCCGCCGCACGCGGCAGGGGAGGTGGTTCTGCCTTTTGGGTTCGCTACACGGGGCCTTACAAGCAATGACGCCATAAGAGTGCCACCACACGCCCATGCCCGCTTACTTTCAAGACATTTTGAAGGGACCTTTACAAGCCATGTCGCCGCATGTCGCACCCAGCTGATCAGTAATGCATTATTTATTGTGCGTGTAGCGCTTGCTATGAAAGGAAGTGGATAGCTTGAGTTGTGAGCTTATTCCGTTTGTCCCACTGCCTTGTCTAAATGTACATTTTGTAATGATTTCAATCTATTGGTTACCCAACCTTATGGAGGCAATTTACAGCGAAGTTGATCAAATCGAAGATGCGCCGCAATCCGCACCACCTAGCGAAATGCGCTTGTGCGACGTGTGAGACCAAGACGCGCGATGGCGGGTAGGCCGTGGTAGCACCGCGCTGTCGCAGTAAGGCGCAGGGAAACCCCTAGTGGTGCGGAGGAGCACGGACGAGTTCTGGGGCTGATTCCCCTCGTCACGCGTCATAGCCGCCACTGCCACAACAGGTAGTCGCGTTGCTCCCCCAGCGTGCACCAGGCGGCGCGGAGCAGGCGGAGCGGAGCGGAGCGGGCGGAGCGGAGAGGGCGGAGCGGAGCGGGCGGGGCGCC